AAGATCATCTCTCTATGATTAATATTGGAGGAGTTACAATACAATAAAGTTTTAAGTATAATTTTGGCTAAAATTATGTTAATTTTTGGCCGGAATTATGATTTACTAATATAAGAAATTTTTTATATAGTCACATCTCTTTATAATCACCAAATATGGACTGTCCCAAATGTGTGACTATAAAGAGAGTTGACTGTATTTCGCTTGTGAATTTTAATTGTTGTAGCTTGATCAATGGATCGTATAGGTGATTCTGATGCATGATTGATAGCAGTAATATTGCGATGCTGTTGTAAATACTTAGTATAACCTGAGATAGCAATGATAAAATCATCAAATGCATCACGGAGCCAATTAAAATTCGTTATTAACATCCATGATGATGTGCTATATTGAGCTAGGGCTTGGCAATGTAAGTTTAATTCATTAGCATCAAAGAGTTTTCGTGATTGCTTATATGATTCTGGATTTGCACGATCAAAAAACTCAAGAAAGAGGTCAGGTATATAATAACTACGCTCTTCAAATTTTTTGTGATTGCGCATATCTATATACCAAATAGTTTCAGTTAAGCTAATAATAAACTCCTTTCTTCGTGTGTCAGCATATGATTGAGTAGACCATCCTCCACCGTGATTTTGAATCCAATTAACAAGATCATTGCGCAGTGTTTGCTTACGATTTATCTTATTTGATTGTGAGAAAATTGGAAAATATAACTGGGATTTTCGTGCATTTTGCATCAATATTGTGAAGCCGTTCAGTGTTCCTATAGTGGAAATTGTTTCATCAGGTTTGAGTCGATAATGCATATGTATCCCCAGTCCCCACACTTTTTGTAAGTTTTACAATATTACAGCTGGGGCTAACTTGGGTTGCAATAGCAGTTGGTGTCTCATTTAACTCAACGCGTTCTATTTCTTCAGAATTTGCTAAAGCTATATTACATTCAGGAAATAGTTCTTTATTAACAAGTTTTATGAAAAAATCTTTTACTGACATTTCATAAGGAATAGGATGGATATACCATCTGTGGAGTGTTTTCTTTCCTTTAGAGATACGAATATTTACAAAAGGCATGTTCATAAAAAAGTTTGTAAAAGATTGAAGTGTGTGTTCTTAACGCGTTAATTTTAAATACATGATGTGCAAATTTTATTAGTGGCGCAGTAAAAAAAGGAAAGCCGATTGTCAATTTTCTAATATAATAATAAATATACGTGAGAGACATATTGCTTTATAATGTTAAATTCAATTTAAAAATTTTCACAAAAAATTTCTTCGTCCCTATATAAATATTTTATAAAATAATTTCCCACGCCAAGTCCATACCGATTAACAATATTTAACTATAAACTGTTAGTAACATGAGAAATAAACTTGTAATTAACTTGATATATAAATCTGTCTATGACTTTTTATTAAATTAACTATATTAATATAAATGTTTATATATGAAATCTTCCGTATTACATGATCAAATGAAAAAAAAAATTTTTTCTAAAAAAAAATAAAAAGCCGTGCGGCCGGGTTAAATCAAAGCAAATTTTGATATGAGAACTAATTTTTTAACTTTATATCGCCTTAGTATCATACAGATTTATTACTAGCAAACTATAAGCAAAAAACAAACAACCCATACTCATAAATTTCTTAGATCAGATGCCCGATGCTTATCATCTGAAGCTATTGAAGAAATTAGAAATGCTCAGAATAATATTCCAGATGCTCGGCGTATTATGTGTAAAAAGCATCGTATAGGATCAACAATATATCAAAAAATAATTGATAATAAGAGGCCTCCTGAACCTACCGAGAAATGGCGTAGAATCATAGAATCTGTTAGCATCTCTGACCAGATTTCAGAAAATAATCAGGAATCTTTACATGATACTTCCTCTTCCACTATCATACAAGAAGACGGGATCACTCATACGGAATATCCTATGGATAATGAGAATGATGCAAATTCTAATGGTCTGAATACAGTAACTAATGAGCGAAAAGATAAAGTTAGTCGGAAAAAAAAGGCTAGTATAAAGCCAAAAGACGAATCTTCTTCTGCAGATAAAGTAGCCAATTCTTTTAAAGATGATACATCTAGACGGGAATTTGATCTTAATAAATTAGTAAATATTACTAGAGAAGCTGTCATGCATTTGATCTATTCTCTATAAGTCGTAAGCATTTTTCTGCAAGAATATTACCTGCATTTAATGCCATGTCAAGCCATCTCTCAGTTTTTAATAGTTGCTCTTCAAGCTTTACGCATTTTTTTTTAAGTCCTCTTCACTATTTGGGCTAGAGGAGTTGGTAGATGTTTGGTCCTGATCTTTTTTTGGCGGATCTTTGACTACTGGAGCCTTACTAAAGGTTGGGATAATATATGCCTTTCCATGTAACTTTATGCGAAACTGGTTTTTATTTGGATCGGGAATGCCTTGAACCTTTCGAATGTTTGTCATACCAAAAAATAGCATTGGTTCTGTTTCATCATTATCAATACGAACAAAACTTCCAATAACTGTGACCGTCTTATCTTCTTTATCCTTCAAAGTAACTGGCACGTCTGTATACTATCCTAATGAATCGGTAATCATATCCGCAGATCCTTAGAATTGGGCCAAATTTGCGGTCCCTAAAATGGATTTATTCATATGATTTTTGGTGTAACAAACACGAGTGATCGATAAACTAAATAACAATAAAAATAATGCCCGTGTACTAAAAAAAAAATTTACATAGTAAAAACCGCGTCTAACCCATCGACGCTTTTCAAAACCCATCCAACCTTTTTAATGAGGCAATGTCCATTAAGGTATTTTAAATTATACTTAGTGCAATTTCGCTTTATTTTGTTTTTAGAGTCTGTTGTTTGTATTATACGTATTAATATGTTTTTTATAATTTTCTTAGTCAAAACTCATAAATACAAAAGGAATTGGCTAATTAGAACAATATTTTAGTTTGGGTAAGGTGTATTTAGCGTTAATATAATAATAAGAATGTTCTGTAGAGTATATTTAACGTTAATATTAATAAATTTTTTTTATATTTCTAGTTAACACGTAATGGAGTCAAGTTCTAGTGATCTTTCCTCTTCTACCCAACCACCTTCTCTGCCAAATTTTCTTTGTAAAGTATGCCTTCGCTCATTTCATTCAGAACGTGGCTTGTTACTACATCGCAAAACTATCAGTAAATATAATAGACTTACAGAACATATTGACATGTTGCTGTCACAAACTATTAAAGAATTTCAGGAAATTTTTGTATATTATATTCATAAAAAATTAAGCAAAAATCATACCAAGGCTGGGCGTCAAACGGTTTCTTTTCCCTGTACAAAGAGTCAGTTTTTTTCAATTTTTCGTGGATTTATTCATTCTTTTCAAGCCAAGAGAGGTATTTACAAATGTTTTTTTCAAGGGAGTTGGGGAAAAAACAATTAAATTATATTTTTAATGACGAACAATGGTCAATAAAACATTATGACCAAGGACAAAAAACATACATAGTCTTACTAGATCAATCAAATGGATCGCGTAATTTTTCTGCTGAACACAATAGAGTAAAAACAAGCGAAACTAATCCTTTAGTTGTACTTGCTAATCAAAGAGCATTTGGCAAGAAAAATATAAAAAGAAAATCTCGTTACAAAAGAGGGGAAGTTATTATTGAGTGGAGGGAAAGAAAGGATCATGAAATTAATGATAATTTTTGTTATGCTGGACATATTACTATGAATTTTTATATATCTCAAATTAGAAGTCTAAATTGATCATTTGGAAATTTAAATATTGGTTTGTTTAGAAAAATAAAATGTGAAATTTTATTTTAAATTTGAACTCTATTAGGTTTAATTTTTTTATTGATAATTCTAATTTTTTGAGGTCTATCACAAATAAAAGAAATATTATCAGATAATTCATAAAGTGATCTGTTTTCTTCTTCAAGAATTTCTACTATTGCAGCCTTAGAATTAACAAGCTTGCCTCCATCTTTCATAGTTTTGCGAAAAAAAAATGATACTTGCATATGATTCTTCTTTTCAACTAAAGAACAGGAAAAAGATTTAATACCCCATTTATTATGTTTTTCCATAAATTCCCATATATGCCATACTAATACATGCATATATGGAGTGATATCAACAGGTCAATAAAGGCCTTTAATAAAATCAGAATCTTCCAGATTTCCAATTGAAGGAGTAAGAAAATAATTAAGCCATGCTTTAGCAGCTGATTGAAATTCTATAGGATCAGTATATTCATTTTTTAAAGCACTATAAAGATCATTGAAATCATCCCATAATTTTCATATCACCTTTGCTCGAGTAGGTTCTAGAATTGTTTCTAAGTTAAAATTACGTAATACTTTAAGTTTTTCTTGTTCCATAAGCGAAGTATATGACCATTTGTTGGAATCTCTTTCTTGCCAAAATTGAAAGCGAACACCAATACGCTGCATTTCTTTAATAATAACTTCACGTGCTATATCAAAAAATCCTGATTCAATTATCTCATTTATTACTAAGTTCCAAAGTCTATCGGTAATTCTTAACATAACGTGTAATTCATCAACTAAATAATTTTCTATTTCAATCATATCAAACAATGGCTTTTTATGATGACCTGAATAAAAGGTATAATTATTTCTCAGATTATTCATATTTTTTGAGATTGTCCAATTAGCATCTAAATCTCTATGTTGATTCTTTTTAATTAAACACCAAGGACAAAAATAGTTACTTGTTGGAGAATTAAATCCTAAACAGGTAATTAAAAACTTCCAATCAGAAGAAAAATATAATTCAAATTTCCAATGTACATTACCAATAGTTAGTCCTTGATTTTTTAGCTGCCATAATTCTTCTCTTAATAACCTCGTAGTTATATCCAAAGTATTATATTCTTTAGACCCAGGATAAAGAATAAGAGTGTAATGATATTCAAGGGAAAAAAGAACTTTTTTATGGTTAAGAATTGCAAATGTAATCATAACATGCTTAACCTTTCGGCCAACATTTCTTCCATCCCCTGAAATTCTAATTGAAATAATAGGTTGTGATGAATTTAAAATATTTTTTCTAACTAAACTTGGTATTAGAAATATTAAAATTTCTTTAATACTTCGAACTCCTGCTTTACCCACTGAATTAATAACTGTTTCTACAATATTTTCATCCATAATATGTGGTACTTCATCAGGATCCACTTCTGCTGTTGCTTCAATATTAATAATTTTAATTTTAACATTTTGTTCCATTAAATTGTTAATAAAGACTTTTTGCTCAGATATTGCATTTTCTTTTGGTAAATTTGGCTCAATTGCCGTAAGATATCTATATCCATCACGCGAAATTCTGCTTTTATCCATTGCTCTTACAATTGCAACTTCTTTTTTATGTTTTAAAACTTGATTTTCTTTTCCATAATAGATATCATATCTTTTATCTTTAACGCTAAATTCTATTGATTTCAATAACGGAACATCTTCTGAAAGATAATAATTGTTGGCAATTTCTGAAAATTGTTCTGACACTTTAGATGATATCTTCGTTGCTCGTTTTGTCAATCCAGAAGTTGTCATCTCATTAACAGGCTTCAAAATCTTTGTGTGTGGTTTGACTGATTTCGTTTCTTGATATTCTTTTAATTTATTAAGTTGTAATCCAAAAAGTAAAATTCCTGATGTTTTGGCATTACTTTCGGTAAATTTCTATAGAAAAATTATAAATTAATGAAATATTTAAATATACAAATTTAATTATAACCACTTTACCTTATGTAACAAACCAGCAGTATTGGTAGCTGACGACTTAGAAAAAACTTGCTCACTAAAATTTTCACCATATTGTATATAATACAAAGGTTTGTTGTCTTGATATGTAATTATACATTGAATTACCTTGTTTTCATTTCCGCGTTTCCACTTTGTTTGTATTTTGTAATCATCAGGAATAGGATAACAGTTTGGTGCACAAGTAACTTGAAGAATCTTTTTATCTGGGTATTTTCCTACTGTAATTATTTTATAGGTAAAACTCCGATTAACTATTCCCTTTTCATTCCTCTGTTTATAGATAATAGTGTCATCTTCTGGGTAATTGCCAATTTCCTCAATTATTACCATTGTAAAAAAATAAAAGTAAACTATAAACGATATTTTAAAAAAAATTTTTTACGTGCATTTTGCCATAGATCGATCATCTTAAATGTACATTTTGTTACACGTATAATAGATCGTCAAAATTAAATATATCAAAAATAGGTACAACACGATTATTTTTTTAAAATATTATTTAATCAAATTAAAAATAAATATTAAATATTTTAAACGAAAAAATAAAAATAGTTGCGGAATTTTTGGTTATTAGCTGGTAGTGTCAAATTGATTGACCGTCGCTACATGCACTATATGATTGGTCTACTAATTTGGGGTTATACCAAAAAATTGGGGTTAGGGTATAGATCCGCGGATATGTATACTTGGAATTGCCCTTTATAGCAAAATTAGATGGTTTATCAGCCTTCCATCTAAGCGCCTTGATTGCTGGGTCATTTATACCACCGAACTCACTGGCGGTATCTAAAAAAGATTTAGAAATAGTTAAGTCATTTATAATAGTATTCAGATATTGTAAAGATGACAACCACTCATCTGATTCTTTTGATTCCTCCTCCTGAACCTTTCGAGACAAGCACATTTTTCGTATTGGTGGTGAGAGCTTAGACAATAGCTGATCGTACGTTTCAGGTTGGCTAGATTCTAGGGGTGAGATTGCATTAGTATCACTGGACAACTTATCATTTACCTGTTTTTTTTTACCGGTGGGTCATATCCAATCCATCTATTATCGTCCTCATCATAATCACCCCCACCATTTTTCTCACCATCTGAATCGGGAGGGACTATAGGTGTAAGAGGCGTAAAATATGACCGAGTTAATTTAGATTGAGCTATTGGTCTTTTTGGACAACTTCCCTTGCTATGGCCCATTTCTTCACAAATTCCACATTTTTGTATAAATATTTTTTTCTGAAATAGATCAGCTAACTGATTTACATTATTCCGAGTTTCTTCAAGTCCTTCTTCAATCCTATCAAATCTAGCAGAATTATTGTTTCGCTGTGTACGAGGTCTTTGAAAAGTTTTTACAGGATAATCTGAGTCTAAATCTTCCTTACTTAATAAACCTATTTCTTTTAAGTATTCTGATACATAATAATTCTTGAGACCTTCCTCTGTTTTCAATGAAGATGGTGGACCTCTCGGCTGTCTAATAGGTTTAACAGTTTGTGGAGCAGGTACTTGCGCTTGTTGAGTCATTTGAGATTGTAATTCTTAACTTTCTTTACTAATGTCTGGTTTTCAGTTTTTTGTTGTGCTAATGCATTCTGAATTGCTTTTTGCATATCTTCTAAAGATATTCCTTGTTGTTGTGGGGCTAAAACAGGTGAAGGTTCATATATTTGCCGAGATGCTCGATTAGATACTAGAGGGTCAGGTAATCTATCTTTTTTATGTCTTGCTATTCGGCGTAACTCTATCTCATAAAGCTTTTTAGCTAATTCATCCAATGGCAAATGTTCATCAATATCCTCAGCTTTTTCAAGCCATAAAAGTGGTAAAGCATCTAAGAACTTTCTACGTAATTCTTCAGGTCTATAGTTGGCTCGTCTACCTATTCGTAATATTTTTCTATATAATTCATCTATAGTCATGTCTCCCTTTCTGATTGTTCCATACATCAAATCCCGAAGTTCCTCTTCTACTGTAGGGAAATGAGTTTTTAGCCACCATACGGCTTGACCAAATCGAATACCAGCTACAACTATTGTATTTCCAGCATTAGCATTTGGTGCATTTACAGGAGCATTAGTAGGATGGCCACCTGCTATACGCCAGTCTTCATTCCAAGCATCTTCTACAGCTCTTAACTTGACTATTGCATTTCCTGGTTGGCCAACAGCCTCATTTAATGCATTAGCTCCTATCTGTACTGCAGTTCGCCCATTTACTGCAACTAAGTTAGCCTGCCCTGTATTATCGATTAAGTTAGTTATCTCCCAATTCTGCTTTGTAGTAATCTCATCATCGAACCATTTTAAAGTCCTTCCTCTCATACAGGCTCTTAAATGTCCTATTGCATTATCTCTTCCTGTTGGAGGACCTGCTACATTATCATTTGGATCTATTCCCGATTCTGCAAGTCTAGTCTAAGTTGTGCAAGAAAGTCTGGGATACTATCATCCCAGTCGAAATATGGATGAGGTATTCCTGCCATGTTTACTTGATTAGGTGGATTATTCTGAAGCGCCAAAATTTGTCACTGCAAATTTAAATTATTCTGTCGTTCTGCTTGGGTCTTATTTTTCCATTTCTCGTATCGCTCATAGAGCCTGTCACGATTAAATTCTAACAGACCTATATTCCCTCTACTTTGCTGTAAGTGATGGGCATTTCGCTGATACAGCAATTGTAAGGCAAATTTTTCCTGTAGCAATATACCAATACGGGTTCGCTTTCCTGTTATATTGTCTAACATTCTATTTACTTGATTTCGAGCATTAGTCCGCAACTGATAAAGGTCAGCAATAACCATTTGTTCCACTCCTTCAGCATTTTGCCTTCGTATAATTTCATTATCATGCTCAGCCTCTGCATCATATCGCCTTCGTTGCTCACGTACTAAATTCTGATGCAAATTATTCTCTTTTTGGCTAATCTGCCTTGTCGCCTTTTTTATTTGATCAGCTAAGATTTCTCTACCTATTGTTGTATTATTCAGATAACCATCTATAGCATTTGCTAGCTCTGTGATGGTAGCCATTTCTAAGTTAATATTAGGATTATACAAGTCTGGAGAATTCCCTCGTTCTGGCGAATTTTTTCATGATGAGATGGTTCTGATCCAGCATCACAATTTCTCTACCTGCTCCTCGGAATCTACTAACAGACTCTCTATACTAGAAATATGTTTTTCATTATCACGAATATCCTTCTTACCTTGATATAGTTGCTTTTTTAGGCTGGAAATTTCGGATTTTAGCTCTACTATCTCCTCTTTCGAAGCATTCTCAAGACGTTCTATCTCACCATTAAGAGTTTGGATTTCTTGTTCACAACGGACACATTCACGTACTAGCTCCCTGATCTGCTTTTCATTTTGGCAGTTACTATCAACTTCTGCTTGCAATTCACTACAAAGATGGTAGTTCTCCTCCTCCAGTTCAGCTTTATATTCTTCACATGTTCTTCTCTGCCTTGGATGGTTCCTCCGAAATGCCATTCTTTTTTGTGATTATAAAAGAGAATGGGAGAACCTTTGATTTATATTGATCCTCAGAAAGCGCATAATCTTAACCGGGATCTGGGTTAAGGACTAATCTGAAAAATTTGGCAGGTGATACATTTTCATGTATAGCGCCTTTGACCAATTTTACTAGGCGATCATGTAGTGAGTATACAGATTATTTAGCGTAAAAAATAAAGAATAAGTTATACATTGCACCTTTGGCTAAATAATATTAATTTTCAGTTAATAGCAATAGTCTATAATTAAGATATTTCCCAGAATCAGTTAGTTAAGCCAGTTAAACAATCATGATTTTTGTTCCATCTTTCAATCTTAATATGGGCTGATTAAAATGGTTTATAGATGGTAGTAAATTATTTTGTTTTGCATACCAAGATGAGATAAATATTTCGCCTGTATCACTTTTGCAATTCGATAACTGATAAGAAGTTAGTGGAATCATTTCTTGCTTGGCAGGTGAAATATAAGCTGGCTCAAAATTTGGAGCACTAGGCGTTATATAGTTGCATTGTATTTTATTTCTTGCTATGGCCAATCTATCAGATAATTGGCGCCTCTTATGCTTTGAATAGCTTATATAATCATAAAGTTGATCTTGCTGAACATGATAAGGTCTATACAATCCATCAATAGAATACCATATATCCAAGTTTACAGTGCAACGAATTCCTCTACTAGGTATATTAAGAAACTTCTTTTTCTTAAGAGTATTATCATTTCTAACCGCCTCCTAAACTCGTTTTGCAAAAGTTTCAGGTTGCTTCTTATAGTTCCTATAAGCTCTTTGGATAATCTGAGCACTTCTATCTGGTGTTTTATCTTTGGAGCATTCATTATCCCAATGGTATTTCATCAAGTCCTTGGATTTAATCTCATATCCATATCTGCACCATCTACTGAAATATGTTTTTTTTGGTTTTATATCTGTAATCTTTACCAATTTCCAGCAATCAAAACAAATAGCCATATTATTCTTATTGATTCTGGGCTGATTATAGTCAGAATTAACCATCTTGCCATTCCCAAATCCTGCAAACAAGCAATGTAGGTGATATACACTAAATCTCTGATTGGCTAATAATTCTTGTAATCGAATTCTGACACTTACAGCCCATGCAACTAGAGACTGACCTGGTTTTACAACTGATAATGTATCATACTCCCACTCTATTCCGATTATTTTTTTGAGGTCAGTACTATAACAGTAATTTACAATATATGCGCTAACATATTTCATATCATATCCAGGACGATTATTAATAGGTTTAGGCACAATCTTATTAAACTACTCATCTAAAATAATATTAGAAGATAATCTGGACATATTTCTTGTTCACTTAAGTGAACGAATTATAACGATCTATAGCAATTTATTGATTTATAGCGTTTTTAGCAACTTTTTAGTATCTTATACTAATGGATAACATGTTTCAAATTTGCCAGTTAAGCAGTTTTAATGATTTATAGCGGTTTTATCGATTTGTAGCCGATTTAGAGAGACTACACACTACTAAACTCAAATTCGATTGGAATCATCTTTCGGGCTAAACTAATCTTATATTTACATGCGTCTTCGGCTGAATCAGTTTGTGGCATGATGTACTGTATATCGTATCACATGACATCTCTACCAGTTCCCTCAATAGTTCTAGGATTTCGATAAATCACGAGATGGTTGGCCGTAATCAGATTTCAGATTTTTTCTTTAGCCGGATAGCCTGAAAAATGATTACGAATAAAATGCACATGTTCGAGATGATCGGCTAATTTAGTCATATGGATTCTTATTCGAAATCTTATTGGGGAGAAGTGTGACATTAATGTCACAGCTAAACCAATGAAATCTGGCAAAGTTTTGGAACAGAGTTATGGGTTATGACAATTTATATGCTGAAATGAAAACCAGAAACTTTATGATTTTTGCTCTGAGAGCCGTGACATTAGTGTCACACTACTTTACAAATAAAAAATCAAAAAATGGCCGTAGCCAGTCCTGAAAGGACCCTTTATTATCAAGAGTTACACAAAATACATGTAGCAGTAGTACTATTTATTCGTTTAATCTAGCAATAAGAAAATTGACATCATCTGGGGATAGATTTAAGATTGTAGTAGCATTAAAAGACTTAACATTTCCCGAATTTTCACCAGCAATTACGCACTGCATTTCGTCATTCACTAATCCTCCTTGCAAATCGATAAAAAAAAATGACGAAGGTAACGCATCCCCAAATTTCATATGCGAAATGATGATTGCTTGAAAAAATATTTATATCTGAATAATGTTTTGTTAGTATTATAGTAGCGTGACGGAGAATGACACGCAAAAATAAATGCAAATCAAAGTCTTACAAAAAAAATGTGAGTCAGAAAAAAAAATCACATGGCAAAATTAGTCTGAAAAAACCTTTTCAATTTTATCTTTTTGAGACCTACGGTCAAAATAAAGACGTACATAATTTATATTTTTTAACAGCAAATACATATAGCATATACAATTCAGAAAATAACGTCCAATGTGACAAAGCTTAATATATGAATTACATTCTGTTGTAAATTATTCTAATTTATACGGGTACTTTTATTGGTGAAAATTGGACTCCATTGCCAGACAATCGCTTATGACCAGTGTTGGACCATTTGTCCAATTGAGCATTTGGATATCCAATTGAATATCCAATTGGATATATGTCCACAATGTCCAATAATTTTTTTGGACATATAAGAAAATGTCCAATTGATTTTTATTTAATTTTATTTAAATTTAATGATTTAAAAAGTAAATTTTATTAATTCTTTACAAATAATTCACAATTTTACTTAAAAAAAATATTACTAGTATGTAGTTGATCAACATTAAATCTGCCTATTTACAGTAAATACAAATTATTTCATTGGATATTTTTCTTATCAATTGTAATCAATTTATTGATTTTATTCTGTTTCATCTACAAATTAATTAAATAATTAAATAATTAAATTAAAAAAAAGATTAAAAATTGAAAAAAAAATTACGTAATAATGTCAAATATGTAGGAGGCTGAATTTTTTCAAAATCAAAAATATCATCTAACTTCCACTTGGCTCTTTTACTGATAAGTGGATGTTTCTTTTGTAAAATCTCGTCTAAATCCATAGTGCGACCAATAAGTGGTGCTATCTCACCATTTTCTTTATCCTTCTGATTTAGAATTTCTGATTCCTCATCTTCTACCATTTCAATCCATTCATTAATTAAATTTCTCCATTCACGAGGTGATTCAATATCTTGTTCCGAATCTTCAGAAGATTGATTTAAAAAATCATCATCATTATCGGATACATTAAATTGGTCGTCATTTTGCTGTTCTTTAACAACTGGAATTGCAATGTTTGTATCTTTGAGTTTTTTATTTGCACTCATAATATTTTCCAGTCGTTTTTGCCGTTGAAATTCTCCCTTTATTTGACTCATAGCAAGAACTTTTTCTGACTGTAATAACATTATAAGTTATAACAGTTAAGAAAGCCAAATTATTAAATATGCTAAAAAAATGTCAATAAATAAAAATTTAAGGTAAATTTCATACACCCAAGCGGTTTCTTTTATTCTTATTAAAAAAGCCCATGGAAGAAAAAAGTCTTTCAACCGAGGCAGTATTAATACAAATAGCATATATTTTAGTAGAAAATGCACTTAAATCTGGTGCATAAGCAGATGTAAAATCCCAAAACCCAAGTACACCATTACTAAATTGTTTTAATGACATATTATTAAATGGAAAATCTTGTTTTCGATAACTCTGCAACTCTCCCAATAGTGAGGTAGGTAATCGTTTAAACCAAGCACAGAAATAGTAAATCATCCATTCACTCAATTGAGCAAAAGAAATTGATTGATTACTTTGAATAAAAAGATTATTCCGATATTCAGGGTGGAGAAGAAAAGAAATTAATAATAAGGGCTGTTCCCAAATATCCCATCTTTTTTCTAAACGCGCAGCCATTTTTTTACCTAAATCTTGATCGGAATATTCTTGCCACATTTTGTAAAAATAAGCAAATCCATGAAGTACATCATGGAGACGAGCATTTTCTGCTTGTAATTTGTTTAACACTCCACAAAAAGGATATAGAAGCTTTTCTAATTGCTTAATTTCTCTCCATCAAATATCATTATCAATAGTTTTGCATATATCAAGCGGCAAAGTTTTATTATTTCGTGTTTCATCTTCTTCACCAGAATTGTAAATTGCTTCATCTTCTTGATCAAATTCTTCAGGAGCATATTTTGAAATAAGTACCTAAAAAAATATGCATGTGTGTAAAAAAATAAAATTAAAAGCTAATTTTATTATGTATTTTAAATTTTACATATCTTTAAAGCTGCCTTTGTTCGTATTAAACTGAAATAGCAATGATAATGAGAATTCCAACGCGTAGCACATGGAAGAAGAAGAGCAAGATATTTATTATATTTGATTTTTTGCTCATCACGTAATCTAGCCATAAAGTAAACTGATCTGTTAAGTTATGTAATAATTTGAATGGCCTTTTCAGATGCATTAATCAAATTAGGAGATTCTTTAAAGATTTCTCCAACAATTAGGTTAGCTTGATTGGCAAAACAGGGGCCAAAAAAAATGTCTCGCTGCTCTGGTGCCAATCGTTTTCTGTAAATTATAAAAAAAAAGTTAATATTTTGCGAATTGTGATTATTAATTTAAATCATTAAGATTTACTATTAACAATTTAACATACCTTGCAGCTTGATTTGAAGATGCAGAATCAGTAATTACAGCATTGTATTTGATATTCTGTTTATCTAAATCACTTAAAAAATTTAATGTAAATTCTTTAATTTCCTCCCATTGAACACGATTTCTGCTTATATCTTCTCCTCCCCATACTAAAACTTGTCCATCAGAAGTAATTAAAACTGATCCCATAATTTTTTGCTTTTTGACATTTTTCCATCCATCAAAACATATAGTAACTCCAAGTTCATCTTTTTGTGCAGTATCAATTAAAGATTTTTTAATATGTTCTGAATTTGTATTCAGAATATGACCTGCTAGTACTTTTTGACTAGGTAATTTCAATCCTGGATTTGCAAAATTAATCATTTTTTGACTTGATTGATTTTCTACCCATCTAAATTACCACCCATTATCTATAGTAGAATTCAATACTAAATCTTCCCATTGAGTATATTCTTGCTTAGAAAGAGGAGTTGGCCTAGGCATATAGTACTTAATTTTTGTTTTTCTTTTTTTATTAGCAGATTCTTCTTCAGTACTAATTTCAAATTCTGAAATATAAATTTAGATTAGTATAAATTAATTAACCAAATAAATTATAAATGATTTTTTAAAAAATATACCGTGTGAATGTTGTGATAAAGAGGAAGCGGAAAAAGAGGAACGGTGTGATAAAGAGGAAGACGAAAAAGAGGAATGGTGTGATAGAGAGGAAGAGGGAAAAGAAAAATTTTGTTCATGAGAAAAAGATGATTCTCCTTCAGTTTGATCTTTTTCTTGAATCTCTTCATATCTCTCAGTAAAAAGTATTCTATTTCTTTCATTTTCGGAATACTGTTCCTTAAATTTATTACAAGACTTTAAATGAGAAATTACTAGCCTTTTTGTGTTTGTAATTTTGGCTTTGCAATAGCAACACAAAGCAAAATAATTAAATTTATTTGCTTTTTCATTTAAAACTGTAATGTACTTAGTATAGGAATGTTTTGGAGGAGGCATGTTTTCTAATGAGAAAAAAATAGTCAAAGTCGAAGTAGAAAAAAAACGAGATTATCATTGTTACACTATAATTTATTAATTTGATATGTCCAATTGGATCTCCAATTGGATTTGGACATATGTCCATATGTCCAATTGGACACATTTAATCCAACGATGTCCAATTAACCAATTGGACAACTGGACATATGTCCATTTGGAAATTGTCCAAATGTCCAATTCTAGAAATTGGACATTGTCCAAATCCAACTCTGCTTATGACCTTCTCTTAACGTATCATAAAACGTCATCGTATTTTTTCTCGTTCGTGCCTTCCAGAACAATATTACTTTGACACCAACTACTAACTTCAAAAAACATTCTACGGTTCTTGGAATTTCGATACGTGCAAGTTCCATAGCAACAATTGTATCCTCAAAGAGAAATTTGGATGTTGATATTTTGAGTTGAAATTCGTTTGATTGCAAACTATAAACTTCAAGATCTTTGATTCTATTTTTCACGTGAGAAGGTAGCGCAAAAAATAATGCCGTAAGAATAATTTTAGAGCACTACTCTAATTTCTGCAGGTCTCCTGTCCTTTTACTTTGTGTATTTATTGCTCCATCTTCCTGCGCTAAAATCTCAGTGCCTAATGACTTAAGGAAACCTTTTCCGTCTAATCTAGGACCACCACGAGTATCAATATTTAAAATGCTTTTCAATTTATCATAAGACTTAGACGCTACTTCTCCACATTTTAATCTTAAATCAGTCTTTCCAAGGAAAGCATTTCTAAGTATTGGCGTCCAGACATATGCGTTAAATTCAGCTTCCGTTAGAGACTGTGTAAGTACATCATTTTTGTATAAGAACAGGAAATGGAGGAAAAGGTTTTCAGCATAAATTAGATCATTCGATGAGGTAGAATGATTGATTCGATTTTTATCTAAACACTCCTCTAATGACTTTAAACTATCAATGTTATCGAACTTTTCTAGGTACTTTAAAACTTCCTCTTCGCAATCTACTAGAAATTTATTGATAACTCCCCCTTCTGAAAAATATATGGAATCGTCAGTACCTTGTATTTGATTCGCTATATATTCCTTGAACCCTTGAGGCAAATATTTAAGACATTCGACATTGTGAATATCAATGATACCAATGGATAAAGGACTTTTTGATATCTGATTTTTTTTCGCGGTTTTCATGATTGAGCGTGCGAATTCCATAATATCAACATTATCGTATATTAGTTTGTGATCAGGAAGAATGTGTATTTGGTATGATTTTAACACTTCGTCTGCTAGATCATGGTTAATATACTTTCTTCTTTTGGCTGCCGATTCAAAAGGCATACTAGATTCACATGCAGATGACGTAATCACTGGTATTTGTTGTTGTGAAGAGGATGGAGTGGATGTCACGACCTCAGAGTCTGTGTCTGATAAAAACTTTTCGTCCTTCAAAGATAGGCTTGAATCAATGGGTTTAACTCTATCTACATCAATAGGATTAATGAGATCAACTGATATTTGTTGTTGTGAAGAAGCAAGAAAGACATTCGTAAGTGGAGGGGATGTCACGACCTCATCAGAGTCTGAGTCTGATAAAAATTCTTCGTTGTATGGTGATAGATTTTGTCTCATTCGTTGAGAAGTTTCCGTGTCAGTGGCTCTGGTCTATGCACATATGTCAAAGAGTTAATAGGTGTTTTTGCTAGCTAAATTTGATATAAGTATACTGACCTTATTTGGTGGCGTTGAAGTTAATTCTTCACCCGGTCTTTTTCTGAAGGAAGGTTCGTTATTCAATTCTCGTTTTGAAATAAGATCTAACTTTTGTTCTTCAATTAGGTCGTGTGCTTTATTATTAGAAATCGACCTATCAACAATAAATTGATTCTATAAACCATAAGCAAAAACTGTGTTAATAAGGTTCCTGCATCTTGGTATTTGATATAACTAGCTAAACATACCTGGGTTTGTTTAATCTCGAGTTCCATCCTCTCGTTATCTAAATCAATCCAAAACCTTGTCACTTCCTCGTTTTTTGTTTGTTGCTTGATAAAAATAACAATAAAATGGTTAAAAGACTGCACCAAAAAATTATCAGCTCTAAACATAACCCAGATGTCAGGTGGCTGCAAACGAAACGCGTTCTTGGCACCGAAAGCATAGTTTCAAGCCTTCATGCAGACTTAGAACGAAGCCCACCGGAGAGCATCCATAACTACTCCAAGCATTGTTGGGTAGCTTGGTGGCTGGTTTGAAAGTGTCCAACTTCTTTCCTATCTCCTATCTCATACAGCTTTGCAAAGTTTAAAACAATATAAATACTGACCAGTAATCCACTCTTTTTTAGAGAAAGTGCAGCCTCAGACCAATTAGGCATTTCCGAAAGACGTGTTAAAAATTTTGATATAAGTGCATGTTCATGGAGTTTACTGTACGTAAAATCGTCTTGGTAGCGACGAAATTGGAGTATTGAAATGAGGCTTAAATTATCGGGGTCTAAGTGCTCTTCAAAACCCTCGAACTGTCTTGACATTTTTTATTAAGAAAAAACACGTTGCGCGTTAGATCACGATATCGAATAAATATTCATTTTTATTGATCACGTGAAAAATAGTCGATCTCCGCAGTAAGATAATGGGCGTCTTCACAAATTGCATCATGATTGTAACATTTGCGCAACCTTATTCCTCATTTTTATTGGGAGACACATTTTTTATTTGGAATGTCACGTGACACTGCATAAAATCAACCCGGCACTATAAATTTAAGACATTGCATTAGAAAAATTCATGATAATTTAATTTTTCAATCCTAATCTTACCCAGTAAGCAAGATTGAAATTTCATATGTAATTTCCAAACACAAAAAACATTATTTCTCGAAAGAGAACTTCCCTGAGATTCGAACCTATAGTATAATTACGGAAGTATTAGTAACTGAGTTAAATAAAATAATACAATAACGATTTACACTTACCATCACGATTCATTTTCACATAATTCCATTCCACCTCATACACAAGATATTTATTGCTTAATTTTTTCTGCAATACGACGATACTGCGCAAAGTTTTAAGAATTTGGCACGTGAAGATGCTTAAAATTTTTGATGCTGTGCCGTTGCATGTGACGAGATTCATGTGAGTAATTTCACTGCGTCTATTGTACGCGTGATGATAACAAGAAGAGCAATATGACCGAAATTTTCATGGACATCTGTAGAGTTGGAAAAATCGATTAGCACCGTGATGACGTTTTCCTAGAATCAAATCCAATATACCTTTCTCTTATTCTTTGGGTAATAAATTGATTAATGATATCGATGATGAAATAATGGTAAGCTTTGTATTCTGCTTAATTTCTTTTTGCTTTACTTGCACAAGGCGGATAAAAGGATTCACTAAATAAAGCTTCATCTTTTTATAAGATTTGTAGTGCATTTAAGGATCGATTTTTGGAATAAATCTTTGGGGAAAATTACGTTATTATGATTCATCACGAAAATCAGATCAACGGATACTCCTAATAGACACTGGGATCAACAAGGGGAATTAATCCGTGCAAATCATTAACGTAGATTCAAAGATTCGTATATGCGTGTGTTATGCCAGAACTTTCGGGAAAAAAACTTATTAATAGCGACTCTGCCTCTAAAAATAAACATATGTGACGTCTTACTACGTATAATGTATTTACTGCGGTTATTTAATTTTTATCATACTTATTCATCATAATAAAATAACGGAAAATTCACGAGAAATTCTACATACATAACGATTTAAGAAATACATATTAATACTGTTATAATATCGGTAAGGGCTAGCGCAATAAATCCATCCATCGGGGCATATAATGAAAGCAAGAAGTATTTTTCTTAACGTAATCCAGAAACGCAACAAGAATCTACAGAGTTTTTTTGCAAGTGTTTCCATATGTAATTTAAACAATAATGAATATGTCTTTTATTACGTTTAAACCCGTCATACAATATTACAATTTCTCTCTGAGTATTCTCTTACATGCAAATATACTCCCATATAAGTTACAACAAAAATAGTTGCGATACCAACATATATGTTTCCTACAAAGCGAAAAAATATTGGTACGATAAAAGATGAAAAAATAATGAAACAAATTCGATGAAAATTCATTGAAGGTGGCTCGTAATCTTTGGGTAAGAGAGCTTGATCCTCTATCAGAATAGAATGGTAAAATGAGATATAGAATATGAATCTATTTGGTATAAATTAAGCAAACTTTTTATATACCATTAAACTCGATTCTTGTACCATCAGGTGTAATAAGCGTTTGCACTTGTTCGATACCAAAATTATGTTGAGCATTTACATTTCTTTGTAAAACCCGGCCTACTGAATATCGAGGCATAAAGTGAGAATAGGTTTTTTTTATTTACAAGTTAAGGCACTTTATTACACAAACCTTCTGGGGGGTCGTCAGTACCAGAGTGGTATATGAGGATGTGAATAGGGCTTTTTTCACCATCTTGAGGATAAGGAGGTTTTTTTCTGAGACTGTCCATATACAAAGTGGGAAAGTAATAAAAAATTTCTATTTGCGAATCAGTTGATTCCCCTTGAGCATTTACAAAACTTGATTCCATAAATTCTCCTTGACCTTTTTCATTGTCATTCACAGAAGTGACTACATGTTCGTTAGGTTGATAAAAAGTAACTTTATATAGATTGAAGTTTCTTTGATGTAAGTCTTGCCGGACATTTCTAATCTCATCTTTCAGATTCTCAACAGTCCGATTGTTGTTAATATTTATGACAAAAATATTATCGACAGTACCACCACGAACAAAGCAGTTGAGGTTGATATCACTAGTTTCATTAGCAGTGAAAACCATCTTAAGCAGGGGCGTAGTAAGAAGTTTTCGCTCCTATAAATAGTAAATTTCATAATTTTGGCGTAATACATACCTTGAAATTTTGCGGGAATGTTAGTTTGACTTCTACGAATTACACAGGTTTTTATGGCTAAAGCTGAGGTTCAATCTAAGTTCTAAACTTACGGTTCTAGGGGTAAGAAGCCAGAAGATGAAAGCAGAAATTTTCAGTGCTTTTTAATATGGCGATCCCTTTGTAGATCTCGGATATTGTAAAGTTTCCACACTCCTATAACATATGAATTTTATTACCGTTAAATATCAACAAGCTCTTCCCATTCAGGTTCCAGTTGGTGTTTCACTCCAGACTAGCTGAATTGGGATTGAGAAATGCCAACGGATTAATATGTGATTAACCTATATACGTAATTTGAATGCGCTAACGTCTGTAGGAAAATAAAAATATACCGTTTATCCGAGGATCAGTAAATCATTGATTGTCTTTTTTAACGGCGCCCTGTCTTACGATCCGCATGATGTGTAATTTTTATTAGTAATTCAGAACTGCGCAATGAGCGAGATAGAACATACCAGAACATTGGGGAAAGTTCATCACTATAACAACGAAAATATTGGGTTTATTAATAGATCCTCTGCCTTAGCGCCTTCGGTAAAATGACGACTGCGGATGCCGGTGACGTATTACTGCGCCTAGCATAACTAATACATTGTACGTATTCAAAATATATAGGTTATTTCGGCTGATCGTTCCCCGAGGGAACTGTTTTTGCCAAGAAATTTTTTTATTAATACATGCAAAAAATAAATACAAAGGATCGGGACTTTGCCCGTACATGACTCTATTGCTAATATACAAGAAAATTATTCCTTAATAAATTTTTTCGTCCTTGCTCTCTTACTATCCGGAGAATCATCAACTTCGACCCTATCCTTCAACAAGCCAACGATTACCCCCATAACCTTTTTAACACCACGGCGAAGTTCCGCATCATCTTTCATTATTTTCTCGTTAAGTGCTATGTGATAGTCGTCTTTCGAGCAATAGATCCTTTCCGGTGTGTATATTAGGAAGTACCAGTCAGAGGCTAAACAAAAAAGGCACAAGTTAGTATATACGAATGATGGATAAAAAAATCACACAAAGGACTGAAAATCTCTACCCGTAGTCACGATCCCATAGAGATAGTCAAACTCATCATCGAATGCCACGGATGCTTTCCTTTTTCTCGTGTTTGTATGGTGAGAGCTTTCGAGTTGCATTATGTTCTGCATGAATCCCGCTACCAAATCCTTTTGTTTTCCCTCTGTTATGGCTATCAATTCCTCATTGATGACATCTATGACTTTCTTGATTGCGTAATCGACTCGGCCAGATGCTTCTTCGCCTACGACTTCGAACTGGGGGTCCATGGTAATTCCTTTCTTAGTGATTCTTTTGGCGATATAGATGGATGCATATAATATTGGGGAAATATACTCGCAACGCACAGCCTCATTCCTACCAGTTGCCGAACCTATAATTCCCATCCTACGTTTTATCTCTGTTATGCACTGCTCCAGCTCCTCGTCTTCATCGTCAATTTCCACAGGCTCTGGTTCAAAGGGCGGACTTTTTGTTATTTCATTACTATCGATTCCGTACTTGCGCAACACCTCACCCAACTCTTTCTTAGTCTTGTACGAGGAGAACGACCTCAACTTTTTATCTTTACACTCCTTAGCGAACTTCACCCGGCATCCCCCATTTCTCAAGCTTTTCTTCGGTCAAGTCAAACAAGTCCCCGCCATTAAGCTCTTCCTTCTCTAAAATTTTGATAGCCGTTTCACTAAGCTCCAAGTTTTTCTGCCCTTGCAAATATTCTATAAGCTTGGCCGTATCATATTTTTTTAATTTCGTCCGCCAACGAGACCGTCTCATTTCCAGCAACAGTAGTAGAGGTGGAAACTGGAGTATAAGGTGTACTGGTTTCGGAAGACATAGTGTTACGTTTTTATAGTGATAATAGGCTCGGACAAAAAATAGTGTTACTTTCCGGAGTAAGATAAAATTTATTTCTGTTCGGGAAAGAAAATACTGGCGTTAATATAGGTTTTTATGTAGCACAGGCATTGCATCATCGCACGTGACCCTTTCTCATATACGTTCGATAAAATAATACTTTATTTATGAAATACTGTAAAATAGTTGCCGGTAGCCGGCCTACAATACATAAAAACTATTACATAGTATGATAATGAAATAGGCCTTAGCCACGAAGTATAGATAAAAAATTCTAACTAGTCGCTAGGGAAGAATTCGGATATGGATACGGTCTTCATCATCAGGCGTCTCGTTAAAATAGGAGAAAATCCTATCTTCTGTTCGCATAGGCTTCTCCTCAGGATAAATTTGGCGGAGGAAGTCATTACGGTTGATTGCCCCCAGCTTCTTTCTTACTTCTTCTTCAAGATCAGAGACTGTTTTATCCTTGGAAATCTCAATCACGAAAATTATGTTCTTATTTCCTGCATTACGGTAGCGGAAGTTAAGACTAATAATATCATTATCTGCGCTGGTAGACATCTTGTTTTCCTAAATACAAGGTCCATAGTGAAAAAAAACTCGCTCCCATACATACATAATTTAGGGCATATACATACCTTATTTTGCGTTATTTTACGAGAAAGTTTTTTGCGGAAAGTTGGCTGAACTTCTACATACTCCTACATGCTTTATATCTGGCTGGGAAAAAAGAGCGCCAAGCTGAAGTTAAGGAGATAAGAATAGTGATTAGCATTGTCGTATGATGCCAAGAGCTCTATGAAAGCACATGTAAATGGAACCCTCATACCTTTTCACATGTAGATCTACCGGAAGACACAAACTTGGTTTTACGCCTGGCAATCTCGGAATTGCGTGTCCCTCAGCCTTTCATAACATATGCTTTTATCATCACTATTTACTTTTAGAGTTGGTCCTGTGTTGCATGTAGACCTCCTTTCACATTTTTCTCATGATTGTTCAGGAAAAAATAAAGAATAAAGGTTAATTGCCGATCCACGAATGAATCGGACCTAGTGATCGGCAAAATCAAATCTCCACTTCCAAAAAAAGTAAAGTCGGTCAATTTTTAGCCAAACCAATTAAATTTTTTTTTAAAAAAAACTTAGAGATTAAATCTATTTTGTAAAAATATAAATTTAAGTATTTCAAAACTCAAAATTTTGCGAATTGCTTTTAAATATCATCAATTAGCGAAATTTTAGTAAAAATTATTTATCATTTTTTTTTCTAATAAAAGTACTAGCAAGAAGTCTCAAAATTCACACATATATACTTTGGACATATATTAATAGAATATTAAAAAAAAAATGATATAATAAATGTAAAAATATTTCCTACTTTAAGGTTAACTAACAATAATCCATTTTCCCATTTTTAATGCTTATATAAAACTTTTATAAATCAATCTTTAGGAATTTAAAAATGGTAATTTTATCTTAAAATATAAGTTCTGAACATATTTAAAGCATTTATTTTCAAATTATTAAGTGAAAAAATTTTTCGGTTTTGTGTCGATGGTTACACAAATTACGAATTAAAGAAATTTAAAGTTTATTGGTGAAAGTTTGACTTTTTTAAGAGCTATTTTTGATACTTTAATAAAATAAAGCAAATGTCAAAGTTTTTTCATTAAAAATTTCAATCTATTCGATTAAAAATTGGTGGATATTCCTATATTGGAAATGCAGATTTAAGGGGTGGTCCGATTGGTACATGGATTACTAATTAATATGTTTTTCGAATATATATGCAAAAATTAATATGTCGCACAAGACCTGACTGATGATCCACTTATTTTTCTGTCACACAGGAGTGGCCCAGCAAATTCTTCCGAGCTGAAGATCACTATCCCGGGTTGATGATCAGTATTCCGGACTCGGCCCTTAAGGCGCTTCGCTAAATTTTCCGCATTAAATATATTACTTTATTATAGCAATCATGGCAAATAATAATCCCGAAACGCTTGCTCAGTTTTATGGACTGTTTTTATATAAGAAGAAGGATATAATAGCTATTCAGGAGAAACTCGGTATTGGCCCTGGCAATGCAAATGAATTAGTAGTGCCTCCAGATTCCGAGCTCATGGGGAAAACACTTGCCGATTCTTACGAGCTGTTGTTAGAATTGGTGGGGGATTTAATACCGATACAAAAGAAACTTGGTATTGATGTCAATCCTGTTCTAGAAGTGGAACTTAGAAGGGATAAAGCCTCTTCAGATAAACCAATTAGATTATTTGATTTGCTTTTATCTTTAGAAGATGATATAGTAGTAATTCAGGATAAACTCGGTATTATTGGCTATACCAATCAAGCAAGGGCAGAAGAAGTCGATGAGAATGTAAGAGCACAACTACGAAAGCTTAAGAAATTTCACGGTCCCTTAGAAGATGATCCAGGTGTGATATTACCGAAATATGGTGAAATGGGGGTAAAGAAAATTCAGTTTACTGGAGAGGGACTTCCTCTATTTCCAAATCTTACTCCTCAACAATTGCATGAAATTTTTGTAAAAAATTCGGCTGGCACAGACCAATGCCCATGTCTAGAACAGGTTAGATGATCTATATTTTTTGTTGTACAGAAGCACTGTACATGCATGTGGCCCAGCAAAAATCTAATTAATGATCACTGCTCCGGACTGGCTGGCTTAGAAGAATAATCATCTTTTTGCGCAAACTCTAGTTCTCGTGCCAATCTATCCAATGTCAATTTAAGACCAATTATATAGACTTCTTGTTGAAGTTCAGGCGCAACCCCGCCCCCTTTGATCTACTGATCTGCAAGGTAAATGTTTTCCATCCCAAAGAATTTATTCGAGGGAGTCTTTAATCAAAAAAATATTATTAATGAGCCGTTAAGGCGCTTCGCTGAGCACCCGACTCCAGATATTCACTCAGCTCGGGATAATCGAACACGCCTACAATCCTATCCTGTCTTTTATTCTTGACAGTGATAAAGCCGGTTGCCCTATCATATGTGTGCTCATATTTGGCTGGATTGCATAGGGTTAAATATTGTGTGGGATTAGTAGTAAACTTACCCATTGTCTTGCGCCTGTTATTTCTTGATTTTTTAGCCATTACCAGATAGTTTGTCCGATTCAATTAATCTATTCTTTTTCTGAACAAATATGAGAAATAAGGGAGGGCTGATTAATCAACCTGGCATTTCATCTATATCACTTCTTAACATTTTTATATATCTGAAAAAAATAAACTGAATATTTATCGCACAATCTGGCCGAAGGCGCTGTGTATGGCTCGTCTATTTCCAAATTTCAGCTAACATTGCATCAATTTCTGCTAACATTGAATCCATATCCATTGTTTGAGACTTTTTTGGATCGTTATTTCTAGACTGAGATGCAGGTGAAGAAGCCTGTTTTTGGGGTTTTGGACCATCACCTGTCTCTGGTTCAGATTTGGGCTCCTTCTTCGATTTTGGATCACCTAAAGCGTAATTTTTTCCTGCATCAAGATGGTTAATTTTATGTCTTAATGCGATTTCTGAAAGATTGTTGAGATGTTGAGTGGTTTTATTTGGACTGGCATGAACCATCGAGGCGTGTTTAGCTCTTATTTTTCTTAGAAGCTTGGTGGTAATCTCATCTTCGTCTTGTTTAGTTTTTAAACTCTTTATTAATTTGGCAAATGGCACATTATTACGCTTTCCAGTTTCAGTATAAACTGGATCATGCAACTTCCCAGCCTTAATAGCGTCTTGAATCCAGGTAAGTAATTCCCTAGCACGTTCTGGATCCTTTTCCATAGAGAGTAAGCGCATAGGCATCGGTTTATCTCTCTGTTTGCGACATCCAGTGCAATACCAAAAATAACCAGCTTTATACCACGCTGGCAGATCTTCAGAATCTGGTTTGTAATTAATAATCTGGAGAGATGATACTTCAGCAGGCCTCATGCTCAGCATCACTATCACATTCGCGAGATCCTGCATAGAGGGAATTTTAGAAGTATCGATATTCTGGAGTCTCCTATGTACTTTCTCAAAGGTGAAATGTTCTGGAGTTCTACTTGGATTAGCTAAGCGCTTCTCAGTCCGCTCTTGCTGGATTTTATTGGAAGCTGTAGTGGTCTTCGAATCTTTGGAATAGCAATCAATAAGTTTACGATCAGCCCCGTACTCTGCTAAATACTTACGAAATCGTGATTGGTTTGAGCTAGAAGCAACCATTTCCTTATCATCAATTACTCCATCCTTATTTTCTTTTGGTTCCAAAGATAAAGTATTAATGAAAATATCCCACTTATCTTCACTTTTAGCGACTTTTTGGGCCCTTTTCCTGACAGAATATATCTTATTTCTCTGATCTGGCACGAGAGCCCCTATCTGCTCTTTGCTAAATGCACTTCTCTTTTCAGTGCCTCTCGCAAGGGCTTCCTTAACGCATTTACGGGCCTTCCAATCTGGAAGTAAAGCATTAAGTTCAGGGGCATGTTCGCTTAATTGCTCTGGGCTGGACTCTGCGGATAAGTTATATCTTTCTAAGAACTGTTCTAGAATCAAAACGAATTTATTAGTTTTCACTTTCCGGGTCTTTTGGGTAGGTTCTGCAGTAGACATGTCGATATAAGTAGACTTCAGTTGTTTCTTCTACTTATATTATGTGAGAAAAAATTCAATTAGAAAAATTCCCCTAATTATAGATTTCGGGATACTATATAACAGAGGGTTGAAGGAAGGAAAAAATAATAATATACTGTATCTCACACAGTCCTAGAGACTAGCTTTGGCCAGTATTGAACGTGAAAGATATGTAACACATTTTTGAATATCTATAATAAAAGTGAAAGCGAAGTTTTAAGATTATTAATATCAAAATTACCTCGTATGGGTCGTTTTATCTGCCAATACATCAAGAGAGATGGTTCGAACTGTGGAAAAAAAAGCATGAGTGAATTAGAATGCGCCAGACATTATAATGCCCTTCCTAGAACAATATGCCCTATCTGCGGGTAGGGAACCTATTCTGATACTGGAATCTGTAGCACGCATAGCGGATTTTATGACCGTGCCTGGCGCGAAAGTAAAAAAACTAAAACAGAATCTAATATGGTCAAGATTTAGCTGAATAACTATCTGGGCTGAAATATTATTTGTCCTGCCCTATAGAATCAAAGAGTTCCTGAATATCATTATCTGTTTTCGGCCTATATGGTGGAAGCTCTGGCGTACCTTTATCTCCAAAACCAAGACCATCATATGGTTGCCGATTAATTTGATATGAACATTCCCAAACCTGTTTTTCTTTAGGCCCTATTTTTTTCCTATTTATCTTTACAGTATAGCCACACCAATTTCCAGCAATTGCATTAATTGCCCTTATAGCTGAATTAAGATCCGATGTTACCTTAGCACGAGACTTAAATCTGAAGAGTAATAGGGATTGATCCAGGACTTTTATAAACTTCTCGCAGGATTGTGTAAATGTTTCTGATATTATATTACTGGAAAGAATACGCTTATCATCTATGCTGGTAAAACCTAGTATTTGAAAGAGTTCCCTTATAACTTTCCAATGATTAGCTGAATATGATTTGTGCAAGTCCTCTGCTACTGATTTCTCAGAATTATAACCAGCTTTATAATGGCTATCTTCCCATTGCGCAATATCTTTGTCCTCTAACCCTTTCATTGCACTTTCCTCATCATAGCCTTGCTTTCTAAAGTGATATAACTTCAAGAAATGTTTTTTAGGTTCTGGCGGACTGAAATGTTTTACAAACTTTTTATTGCAAAGATTATCCCAAATCTCATTGTCTATATCTTTACCATAAATATTTCGCATATAGAAACGTTTAAGTGCCATAGTATCTGGGATAGAGCGTTCTTGGTCAAATTTAAGATTTTCAGCTTCTTCAGGATCTAGATTTCGGGAAGTAGCAACTGCATCAAAATCTGTTTCCTTGATAACTAGTGCTTCAACCCTAACCTCATTGCGGACTTTTTTACGATTCCCTATAACTCCTCGACTCTCATCCATTTTTATTAGTTGGAGAGAAGCACCAGTACTGGCTATAAAACTACAAAGCTTCTCAATAAAATATCTCGCAAAAAGCCATTTCTGATGCTCAACTTCGACAAATGTTATTACAGCAGAAGATTCATCGATTTTATAAGAAATGGCGTTGATATCCCATTCACAGTGACCCTTTATTGATGTAGGCAAATTATTAGGTCGAGCACTTTCAAGTTCTGCTTGGATATTTTCACGACCCGGTGGACGAAAAAGTTCATTAGAATTTTTTGATAAAACACAGAAACAATACGACGAGGACAGTCACAAATTCGATAAAGCATTTGCGCAAGAGCCTCAACATGAACTGGAGTGGCGATGTTTGTAATAGCTATAACTATATCAAAATAGCCCGTAACCTCAAATGATATTCCTGCCTCCACTGTATTTGTGTAAGCTACACAGTCAAGCTCACCCCAAGCAACATCAATATTAGAGAAGTCTTTTTGTCTCTGCTTCCCATCCATATTCCCATAATATGCACGGGCTTTAACAGGAGAATTGTCGGGTTTAAACAACTTAGATGCTTTTTCTACTAGCGCTCTAGCCATCACTGCTCCAGTAGATACGAATGCTACACGTTTGCCCTGCCTCAAAAGATCATATCCTATTCGCATGGCTTCAGCTCCGCTATTCAGATCATAAATAAATTCAACTGTCTCGCCTATACGAGGCTGATACTTATTATCAACTATGCAAATATTTTCACCACGATAAGTCTGGAGCAAGGTTAGTGTTGATTTATTTGCAAAAGCATCCATGGCCAAAACATGTCTCACAGATCTTAGTACATCACGTATTGCATTCTCAGATTCTCGTGCATTTGTACCGCTAGACATTTGACGCATAATGGCATTAGCTTCATCAAGAATAGCTACAAATGGACGGGCTGTAAACTCGATACGGAAAAGACTCTCAACCTGTACTATGATAATATCCCACTCATTTATAGATAAGTCTCCTTGTATATTTTGATAATTGCAAATTCGAAAACCAGATGCTTTTAGCTCAACAAGTTTCGTTTTTGATTCATTACTAAGAGACTTTTGGTAAGAAACCCAGATATAACATGGCAAAGAAGAGAGATCATGTACCTTATTTTTCAATGCCATAATAATCTCTCTTAATGTAGTGGTTTTCCATGTTCCCGGAGGAGAACTAATAAGTGTTGTCATTTTCTTAATACCCAAGAAATCGGGATATACTTCTGGAGCATCCTTTAATTTTTCTACATTAATCATTGTCTTTGATAATTCTACAATTTGGCGTGGATTTGATATAGCATCACCTATTCTTTCGACTATTCCTCGCTTAGGTTTTGCAGAAATTTCGATCACTTTTCCAAATGCTAATCCTTTATTATCTGGTTTATAATTTTTCTGCCGATAGCATTTGAGTACAAAACAGCTATTACTTCGAAGAAAGCCATATAACTGATCCTTTTCGTGCTTGATTTCACAAATAGGACATGCTTCATATAATTGGGCTTGAAAGTGGACAAATCCATTCCCAATTTTTCCGATCTCAAGCCATCCATATTTTGCGATAACTAAGCTAGCTCCGTTACTTAAGGCGGTTTCATCTTTGATGGGCTGAAATTTCTTCTCTTCTTTCTCAGGAGAAAAGGTCTGTGGCCAGATTTCAGAAGCGTTCCACTTAGGCTGAACTAAATAATCTTCTAGCTTGTGATATCCTTTCTTAACTGAAGAAATCGCAGGTCTTTTAACTCTATCTTCCTTTGCTGATCCAAAGAGTCAGAGACTAAAGCGATATTTATAAAGTCCAATATCAATAAACTTTGAGTATGGTTTTCCAACCTTATCAGCGACTTTTTCCACAAAACCCTTAAGATCTCTGTAGTCAATAAACCGTGCATATTTATATACAATATGCCAACTGCATTTATTAGCATTAGACGAGCTGGCTAAAGTAAAAGCATCTAATATTGCAAAATGCTTTAAATCAGTATTTATAATATCGACACAGGCAATTAAGATTTTGGATAATAAATCTTCACGAGAAATTTTACTCTCATCTAAGGAAGGAAATTTAGGATTCATGGGATCGGGCTTTTGCCTCGCATCAATATCCAGAACCAGACAGAGAGGCAAATTCCCATCAATGCACTCGTGAGCATCAGGAAACCCATAAACTTCGGATGGATGATCGACTACTGTAAAGCCCTTTCCTGCAATCCGAACTATATATTTATTTAAAATCTCTTCAGGATCATAAGTATCTAGAAGAGCGACATTATCTTTACTGATAGACAAGTTTTGGAAATACACATGATTATTATGACCAGGCTTATAATTAAGGTCAGTTAAGCCTGAGAAAAGCTTTATTACTCCGGGTGAGGCTCAGCATTTTTTTGCGCAAGAAGCATGGTGTATATGCAAAAAAGCAGTATAAAATAACAGAGAAACTAGCAAAGTCAAAATAAAAATTCTATATAATTTTGAGCGAATATGCTTGCTAGCGCGGGCAAAATACTGGGTCAGTAGTAGTACCCAAAGTTATCAATATAATAATGCCTAAAAGTAATCGATGTAGTAGTATTCCAAAGTATCCCAGAGTAGAAACTATACAGGAACAAGAACTAGAAGGCGAAAACAAGTAAGTTTATGGTAACCCACTCAAGCAGAATTATATATAGAAAAGAAAAGAGAAATTTCACTTGAGTGGCCTACCACCGATAGGCAGGAAAGAGACCAGAAAGGCAGAAAGGTTCAGGAGAATACACGAAAAAAGATATGAAAGCGATATAGCCTGAACCAATTCGACACTTCACATGAACCTTACACAGCAATCAGAAAGGGCATATAAAGGGTGGGATTGCAAGAATGGGCACAAATTCGGCACTTTGTGCCTCATCCTCAGCAATCAAAAGGGTTATGGAAGGCAGGATTGCACATCTAGGTCACCAATTCGGCACTTCGTACCTCATCCCTGGCAATCAAAAAGTGAGGGAATGGATTGTGAAATGTCTTCGGCAAATAGATGGATTGCAAATTCGGCACTTTGTGCCTTATCCGGCAATTAAGAAATGGCAAAGCAACTATGTGAGGGTGTTCCGGCATCAGAACAGTATCACGTGACTGGCACAGTAAGGCGCAGTATAGATTCGCTTAATTTTGCTTAGCACTATAATCCATATTTTTTTCCAAAACTTTGAGACGCAATAACTTGGCATCCAGGCATCCAATTCATGCGATCTTAGCATTATTGGAAAGCTCTCAACGTCCTCTTTCAAACGACCACAAAACCGCACGAAGCTAATCACAGGAAGCTAAGATATTCTGCCCTAAAGATCGGCCAGAAATTATGCTATAGTGCCGGCCAAAATCTGATCCTCAAATTAATTGCGCCACCCGATTATTTTTTTACACCATTTCAGCAACTTAAAAGGCCAGCAAATGGGCTACACCCTCGACCTCAAATATGGCAACCAAAAGGGTTATATAGTGGAAAACCCAACTTTACTCCTATACAATTGTTAAAAGGCTCCAGAATGGAAAAACAAACCTCTGCCCTGTTTAGCAACCAAACAGTCACAGACCAGTGAAAACAGATGGATAGCAATAAAGCATCAGAAGGGGCATAGACACGTAAAAATAAGTAAATATGCATCAATATCTATAAGTAGGCATCACTATGGTGTAAGTAGATAGATTAAGTAGGCATCACTATAATTATAATGATGCCTACTTAATCTATCTACTAGAGAAAAAGAACTAACTAACAAATAAAGAAAATGTCTGAAAGAAATAAAATTTCTATTTATAATTAAATACAAATAAAAATAAAACTAGGACCCTTCTTCTTATTTATGTATTTCAGTTTAGCATTTTGATTGGAAGGTCCTCCTGTAGTTTCATCTTTCTTAAGTTTATGCCTATTATTTTACTTATGTAGTTTAAGGGCAATGACAGATATTACCTAATATCAGTTTATTATAAAAGCTTACTCCCCTCCCTCAGGTAAAATATATTATATATGTAATTTCCTTATATAGTATATATGTAACCTAAGATTTCCTCTCCCTAGAATATTAGGTAATATCTGTCACTGCCCTTATGTACAGTCACGTCCGAAAGTGACGCCCGATTTAAAATTAATGCCAAAAATGGCAAAACTTTATTGATTTTCATTAAAATTCACATAAAAAATAATTACTAAAAATGGTTAATAATGTGTTGGCCCTCCCCTTGCTTCTAGTACTGCATTTATTCTTTGTGGCATTGAAGCAACAACCTCTTCAAAAATGGAGCAATCCAAATTTTCCCATTCTTCACTTAGTGCAACTTTAAGTTCATCCACAGTTCTTGGAAAGACTTTACAACTCTGGATATTGTCCTTTAACTGCTTCCAGATGTTTTCTATTGGATTTAGATCGGGAGAATTTGCCGGCCAATCAATAACCACAATTTTATTCTTCTTCAACCAATCCTTGGTTATTTTCG